AAGGAAAATATTCAGATTTACAAATCAAAACTAAGAATGATCAAAAGGCACTTAATACGTAAAGTTAAACTCCTTATAGCATCATAAATAGAACGTCAACAATTCAAGCAGTTGAGATCTACATCTGTGAATGAATAGAATTCATCATTACCCCCACCACAGCCACAAGAGATGCTGGGTGTAGCTACCTGCTACCTAAATTCCTGTCTTTTGTGCCTTATATACACTATATGGACAAAGGTATTGGGCCACACCTCTTAATCTTTGAATCGAGGTGTTTGCAGTCCTATTGCACCGGTGTACAGAACCAAGCACCCAGACATCCAGTCTGCCTTTACAAACATTAGTGAAAGAATGGGTCATTCTGCAGAGACACTGTTGCCACAGCTCTGTTTGTGAAATTTCTTCCCTCCTAGATATCAGCTGTATGGTGGTATTATTACCACAGCCAAAGAGGTTATGTTCTTGGTAGTGCTTGCGTGCTTACATATGTGTCCTTCTGTCTGTAAGCACGACAGCTCAGAACAGAAATTCTGATAAATCTTTTTAGGGATGTAGACTTGACGTCCACTGACGTCGCCAACGTCAACTTAACTATTTATTGGTGAAAAAACTGTGATTTTTACAAGTGTGATGTGTATTGCCAACATATAGAACGTACCATATAAATATTTTAAAGTATCATGTCACATTTGACCTCTTCTTTAAAGTCAATACTTTGCTATAAAGATAAAAGTGATAATAATAAAGAGCTGTTTAAAACTATGTTGTTTTTTTGTTTTTGCTATTGTTTGGGCTGAGAATACAGGCATATAGGGAATGGTATATGAGATTTCTAAATATCACATTACTTTTGACCTCTGATTTATTCTTCAAGGTCAGATAAGTTTTACATTTTTTAATCTTTAAAATGTCTCTAAATTCTACTGCCTTTGTCTGCATAAGCAAAATTTGGGAAACGACACTGTGGGTTCTAAATATCAAGTAATAGTTTGCATCCAAATGTGTCACATTTTACCTCTGATCTCACTTTTATATTTCACATCTGTGTTTCTTTCAAAGTGAGCTCAAAATGCTGTATTGTCTTAAAGAATTAGAAAGAGAAAGATGAGCTGCCTTAGTGGAAGTTTGTGTTCTCGATTCATGTTGTTCAAGTGGAAGTGTTTAGGAAAACCCAGCATTACGCAAAATGTTTAATACGCACACCGGTCCACTGTGTCCATTTCACGCTTTGCCGCTCCAAAACATGAAATGGGCACGCATGCAGAAGCTGCATTACCAGCAGGGGGAGATAATTTATATAAAGCCAAGAAGTTGGTAGTGAGCAAAAAACATACAAAGTGCATTCCAGGGTCCTTAATTGTCTAAATAATTAAGCGAGGTGGCTAACACGAGTTAATGATGTCTGTTTAAACGCTTTCCAATGATTGTTTTCATGTTGGCTTCAAATAAAATATCTCCCTCTGCTGTTACTGCAGCGTACTGCACCTTTTCCATCCTCTTTTCACACTTTGGAGAGGCAAAGAGTACAATGGACACTGTTGTCTATTACACAATATCGGGTTTTTAAAGAACCATACCAAGTTGCATACTGCATAAAAGTCTGACTCAGTAATTGCAGAGCACAAAACTTCCTCTGCCGTTAACATCAGTACAGAAACTGTAACCCAGGAGCTTCATGGTATGGGTTTCCATGGCCAAGCATCTCCTGTAGCTCTAATGTGTAGGTGGCCCAGTGCTTTTGTCCACTGGGCCACCAATACATTACAGAAAACACAAAGGGTGTCAGCTCACCTGTTATCTTTACAGCTTCTCCCTGTTTTCCTCCAACAGAAGCAATGGTGGGTCATCAGAGACGTGCCTGAACCTGAGAGGTGGGGTGCCGAAGGTATAAAGACTGGTTCTTCAATTCCTTCTCTCTGGGATGCTTTGTCTTGTCTATGATCATGCTGCTTTGTTAGGTTATTTTGTCTCTTGTACCCTCGTTCAGCATCATCCATTCACAGCATATACCGCTGACACATCATGCGAAACTACATGTTTAGTTATATAAACTGGTTGGCAAATTGGACTGTGCGGATTTGTTATTTGCCAGCCTGAGCCAAGCTGGTAACAATAAACAGAATATTTTCCACTGCAGAAAAATATGTTAATGCTGAAAATTTATACAGCTGATTTGTGTTTGAACATTTACGATGCTGCATGATACAAATAACCAAGAATCATCTCTGCAGAGTCAGAGCTCTGTAGCTTTTTTTATCAGCTTTTTTAGGAAATTGTAAAAGTTTAGAAGAGTTTAATGAAGTTTAAATTGTGCAGAAAGTTACCAGAACTTCTTTATTAAGGATTTAAACACACCCAATATTTTGAATTATGAGATTTTTCAAATGAGAATGAGAAAGTAAATATAGATCATGCTGTTACTAGGTGATAATGGAGCAGCCATTACCAGTGATGCACACACAGTGTAGATGGATGGTTCATAAAGCAACCAATCTTCAGCAGTATGTGAACTTGTTATGTCACTATGTGGCTAATTTGATGATGTATTGCTTGTCAGGTAAAAGCTTATATTAAGTGTGACAGATATGCTAAGCTCTGATAGTAATAGTCCTACAAGTGTAAACACAGTCACACCACCAGAATGATGACATTCTTACAAATACACTACGCCCCAATCTCCTTAATGCAAAATACTGCAGGACCTTTAAATTAAGCCACTATGCTGTAACACAGGTAAACTGCTTGTGGCCACAGATATGCTACGAAGCACGGAGCAAACATGCATCAATGAAGACTGTGATTTGACACACGCACACACACGTGATAACCATAGGCAATAACAGGGGGTGCATCAGCGACACCTTTATGCACGCATGAACTGAGATCTGTTTAATGTTTGTGGGTATTTAACTCGATATTTCGCTGTCATCTCCAGAAACTGATGTTGGAGTGCAGATTTATGGCCCTGTCAGGTGGTTTCATTCACAACTAATCTGACATGATGGATTTTAAACTACTGTGGCTGTTCAATTAGCATGAGTACAGCAGGTTAACCATACATGAATATTCCAGAAAGCATAAAACCAGAAAACATAATATGCAAAAGGGCAGTGGACACGTTTCAAAAAGTACACATTCACAGGTAAACCACACTGATTTCCTGCAAACCTTTACGAGTACATGTTAACGACAAAGTGTCACATTTGTAACATCTCTGAGTGATTCAGAATCAGGATTGCTAAACATATAAGAGCCAACGTCTAATTGTTATTCACCATCAATCTCCTTTCTTTTTCATGTCACCGCATAGATGGCTTGCACAGGTGACTCGTTTTCCTTCCTGCCAAGGTCAATCATTACCACCTTGGAGAGATAATTTATTAATAGCAGATTGCCCTTTGTGCCTCCATTTTTTCAGGTGATGAATGCTTCAAACCTCGTTCAACCTTTGTCAGAAAGAGTGAAACGATAAAGCTGCTAACCAAAACTAGATTCAGTCGAGGAATATTTTACAGGTTCATCATCCATGTGTTCGGCCTCACTAGCTGTTACATCACTGGTGTCCTTCTCTCTACAGGCATATATGTGGCAGATTAGTAATGGAAATAGAAAAAAAGGGTGTGTGTAATTAATGTATTTGCTTCCACAATGCAGTCGTAGCATGTTAATCACAGATGCGTGCTGCTCTGCAACTGGTTTAGCAACTGTACCTACGGTACATGTATCATGCAAAAAAGCTTTTTAAACATCAACAACCAATTGCAAGATAGATTTATGCGATGCATTATGAATCCACTCTACTCTGCATCATTCTGTCCCTCCATTCAGCACTACAGTATGTGGCTTTGTGCTACACTGCACAATGACACAGCAAAAATGTTTAAGGTAATGTGTATGTGAAAAATGCTGCAGGAATCCTGACTTTAGGGGGGGAACCACTCACACACGCACATATATGATGGCATTGTAGGTACCAGACTTCTGTAACCTGCTGTTTATCTCTACTTGAGGCTAGCTGCATGGCAGTACATTTGAGTGTCCAATCTGCACTCAGAGGGCACCCAGAGGGCTTTGGGTTGTCAGTTCATCAGGTACATGAGGGCTTCTCACAAACATTATGAGCCCCTTATTCACATACACACACACAGATCAACTTTGTCTGAGGGAAACAGCCACGGGTCACAAAGTTATGGAGTCAAATACAGAGTTAGCAGAGCAAAGCAAAAATCATAAAAAATGGTAATTAAATAAGAATTAAATAGAATTAATTACCATAGTCTAATAGAGTTTAAATAGAAAAAGTAAACCAACTCCAACATTAGCCCATTACTGTATGTCTTCTGCATTCTGAATGGCAGGTGGTCATTAAGTTCCTTGGCCAGTAAGAAAGTGTAAAAGTCTCAAACCTAAAACAGAACGAAAATGTTTTGGAATTGTCCTTTTGAAGTTACGCGACACGTCCCACAGCGCTGTGCCATTCCCACGAATCGCATTTTGAGCCTTTGCAGTCTCTTGCACTCAGCCGCTTTTCAGGTGAAGTCAGTTAAGTCTTTGGGGGTTTAGAGCTTAGGCCTTTGGATGGAGACTGGAATTGGGCCTAGTATAACACACTGAAATCTCCAACTTATCTGTTTGCTGTCAGTTCTCATTACGCTCGGTGCCAGTGCCAAGTTTTTGAAATCTTTGCTAGATATTTCTGGCTCCGCTGCATCAATTTTTATACTTTGCATGTATGCTTTGTTAAATTTTTTCACTGGTCTGACAATTGGAAGAATTGTTTCATGCAGACAAGAAAACCAAAAGCTCAACTTGTACTTAGGAGATTGCATAACCCCCATTGTGTGCAATTAAATTCCTCTGCACAGTACAAATATACTGTATGCCACAAAGAAAAGCTCATATATGATATATAGCATGCATAGTCGAGCATATCTTACCTTTTCTGCAAAGATCTTTTTCATTAAATGCAGATTGTCTATAATATAATACCTGTGTAAGGCATATATTTGTGTTTTGTCATGCATAATATCCACACTGCACTCAGTTTTGTTTAGAATGTTGCATAATTTGTGTTCAGATGGATGTTTGTCTGATGAAGATCTTGTAGGTTGAAACATTAAAGAACTCCCTTTGGGGACAACATTTTCCTCTGTTCTGCTCCCAAACAAGCACGAAAATGTTTCTTATTTTTGTGGCAAAGCTCAGCCCAAAGCTCAGCCCTGGTAAAGAGTGTTTCTCAGTTCATTTTATTCAGTTTGTTCGTCGTCTTATCCTTAGCTGACCAAAATTTTGAGACTTTTTGTATTTATTATGTGTTTTATAGTCAAATAGTTTCAATAAAAGCATTTATTGTAGAACTGAATAAAGAATATTGATTATTACAACATTAGTTCGTGTTGCTGAAATCTCTGCATGGAGTTAAGACCTCTGATTCCCTTTAGGAAACATAAATAATGTGAAAGTCACAACCACAAGCAAAGTCTTTAAATATATAGATTACGGATATTACATTGTGTCAGTCTTGAACGCACCTGCGTCTGCCTTAGAAAATTGTATAAAATTCTCTGAATGACTTCCTGTTCAAGTGCAATCCTCTGTCAAGTGTTATGGGTCATGTTAAAATTCATATATGGAAAGCCAAAAGATGTCAGCGCGTGTGCTTCCATATGTGCTGACAACATGAGTGCCCCTTTCTGCATACGTGAAGTACACTAGAATAGCATCAGTTGCGCTCGCTGTCATGACTTATTGAACTATGAAAGCAAAGACTTGTTCTCCTGCAGGAAGGTGGCAGAGGAAGGGCAGGGAGATGGTGAGGAGATCAAACAGCAGCGAGCTGCAGCGCAACCTTAAAACATGAGGAGGAAGTGATGCGAAACGACACCCTCTTGTCCACATTGATCCGCGCTGTTTAATGCTTTCCCACATCTCCGAGTGCCTCGAGAGGTTGTTGGATTTCAATTTTGATGTCATCATAATGTTTTCTGGCCGTGACTCTAATCTCTCATTAGATTTCAAGGTAACACCTCACAACAGGGAGAAAACTGCAAGTCATCTGCCACAATATAAACATGGCAAAACACAAATGAAAGGACCAGCATGGCTCATCTTTACTAAGAACTGCATTAAAGCTTTTACTCAAAGACAAATATTTTAAAGCCTTTATTACACAGCGCCTCTGAATGAGAACAAATACTAGAGCAACAAACGTTGTTTTCATTTTATGCTGGCAGATCTTCAGCATTTTTTATGTAGCTCTGCAAGCCAGATTCTACAATTCAGATCACTCTATGCGGCCATAAGATGGGGAAACCATGTGACACACGAACAGGACATACTGAAGAAACAGACTGAATGTGGCAGAAAACAGGCCCACCCATGCACAGTTAAACAAGATTAAGTTTGTTCAGCAGAATTGAATTTATTATGAGTGATCATCAGCTTTGCTGCATTAATATCAGCTGCAGATGAAGCTTTTCTTAAAGCCCCAGAAGGAAAGCAGACTTCTCACTCTTCCTTTCAACTGCATGGGTGTGCCTTTCTAAACAAAGATAACCACAGCATCGAGCGGCCCAAGACTATGATCAAAATATAAACCTATGGTTATTTTCAGCATACGTAGACATATAACTGAACCGGCAACCTTGCTTTCAGGTATTCACATAATCCCCAAAAAAATTATCCAGGGTCATTTATCCAAAAGGTATTTATGAATTCAAAATCATGTCTGTTGCTCCTGATTTCTGCTGCTTATTCACATTAATGGGTCAGGCATCATGGGAGTAAGTGCTATGCACTGCATTAACATACTTTACCAGCCAAATAGGAATCCACACAGAATAATCCATCACTTAACTGATATGTGAAAGGTTAAAGTGAAGCAGTGTCAAAAAAAATTAGAAGTTTCCCACCACCACCCTCAATATGCAAAATGCCTATCTTCACAAATGATTTCTCTTTGTATTAAATACTAAATCAGGTCTTTTGTAAATAAAAACAAGCTTCTTTTTTTTTTTTTACTTTTTTCTAAATTGGCATTTCTCCTCATCATGGCTTCATTGAATTAGAATTTTTTTTAAATGTATTTAGATAATGGAAATATTTTTTACAACTATGCATTTTATGTAGAACAATTTCTCACCACTTTTTCTTTTTTTGTTCAATAAAACTGGCATTTTTTTCATCTCCATCCCGATTCAAATGAAAAAAGTCCCATTTTCACATCCTCATAATGCCTGTGAGTCACAGAGAGCTTATTATTTGAAGGATTCTTGTTTCAGAAGTTCATATAAGAAAATAGACACATAAACAAAAGTTGTCAGTGACCGGAGGTGCTGCAGCTCACAGCCTGCAACATCTGAAGCGCGTGAGTTTGTGAAAAGCTTTTTTGAAGTCCTCGTTTGACATGGTGTATATGATCGGGTTGATGAGGGAATTGAGATATCCCAGCCAGGTGAAAAAGTCAAATAACTCGGGGTTAAAACATGTGTCACATGTTGCCACCAGCAACGTGTAGATGAAAAACGGAAGCCAGCAAATAATATAAGCGCCGAGGATTATCCCCAGAGTCTTCGTCGCTTTTCGTTCTCTTGCTGCTGAAATTCTCTTTTTCTCCAAAACCGCATCGGACAACGTCACTTTCACCTGGTTCTCGCTCGTTGAAGACCCGGTGTCGCTGGACGGAGCGTCGTGTCTCCCGCACTGCAGAGAGCTAGTGGACGCCGCGGACCCAGGGGAGTTGGAGACCAGGTGAGCCGATGTTAGTCTCTTCCCAACCTTCTTCGGGGACTGCTTCAGGATCCTTTTCCGAGCCTCCACGTATATCCGTCCGTAGAGGACAATGAGGAGCAAGGTTGGGATGTAGAAAGCCCCAAAAGTGGAGTAAATGGTGTAGAAAATGTGATCTGTGTTGACGCTACAGCTTGTTAATTCATCCGCTTTCACCTGTCTCCAGAAGAGAGGCGGGAGGGAGATGGAGATGGCGATGACCCAGGCTGTGGCCACCATCCCTGCCGCTCTTCCCGTTGTGCGCTTTTTAGAGTACTCCACTGCGTCAGTGATGGCCCAGTACCTATCCAAAGCGATTACGCACAGATGGAGGATGGACGCAGTGCAACACGTTATGTCCGAGGAGAGCCAGATGTCGCAAACTATTTGTCCGAGCGTCCAGGTGTGGATCACGGTGTACAGGACGCAGATGGGCATCACTAGGATAGACACCAGCAGGTCAGTGACGGCCAGAGAGGCGATCAGAAAGTTTGCGGGAGTTTGCAGCTTCTTCGACTGGGAAATCGTTGCGATGACAAAGGCATTGGATAAAGTGGTGGCGAGTGTGATAATCGAGAGAATCACAGCCAAGCTGATCTGATAGGCGACACTCTCTGCGCTCTCATCCACAATGGATGAATTTGTAGTAAAACTGTCGTTTGTGGTGTTGACCCGCTGAGTTGGCTCGACTTGACCCGAGAGCTCCATAACTTTTAGTCACTTTTATCATATTTTATTTGCACCCTCTGATGTCTGGCATTGAATGAGCTTTCTCTCGTCGTTAGCGTTGCCTCATCCGTGCCATGCGTTCAGAGTAGTGGCACAGTGGAAACAGAAAAACTCACTCTTTTCTTCTTCATTTTTTCATCTTACATCAGATTTTAATGCGCAGATGTTGAAATATGGAGGCAAGTATCCATTCATCGCAGAAATGAAAACTTCTCCGGGTTTTAGCCATGAAAAGACAACTTCCTAACTGTGGAAGCACGCAACAAATAAAAAGTATTATGCATAAATGTTGAGCAGTGCGCCCTGATAACCCAACATCTGGGAGGATGTCACAGATAATCCACATGTAGGGCAGAGGTTCTCGAGAGCTATGCCTTTGCAGGCCCCTTGTGGTTGAATGCTGAGCCAACCCCGAGTCTCGATTTTATACAGACTCTGACATCAAACAAGCGCCACCGATCACAGCTCTCTCTCTCTCTCTCTCTCTCTCTCTCTCTCTGAAGAGTAGACTGCCTTCTGGGTCATAGTGCCCAGTGTTTCCCATTTGCCACATACCCTTCTAGATATATATATATATATACAAAGAAACATCTTGGATTACAAAAGACAAAATGTGCTGTTGTCACCACACCAACTTTTAACATCCAACTTTGTAAAGCATGCAACTATAGGTAATTAATGAACCATTAGAAGTATGAATAAATCTTAAGTCATTAGTATTGAATGTTAATAATTCAATGCGCCAAGTCAGTTAGTGTGCAAAATGCTCTCATTTAACCAACCATATTGGAGTTTTATGCACTGGTTACATTTGAAGTTGTCCATCTTTGTTTAGGGACACAACTTCTAAAACAACTTTGATCAAACATGATATTGATGTAGATGATCCAAAATCCAATTCAACAAAGATTTAAAGTAAGTCCGATTCTTACCCATGGCCTCGCCTTGGAGACCATATTGACCAAGCTGGTGCACCGCAGTATAAGAGGAAGTCTGATCTATTAAAGGAGCACTGCCAAGTCCCATTAAGTCCTTATAGACTGTAAGCATATACCATCATTGGATTTGGTGCCAAATGCACTGGCTACATTTCAGTGACTTTTGAATATGGTTATTAATGAGCTGCAATGTTGTGCTGATTTTTTGGATGACGTGCTGGTATATAGTAGTGCCTAGAAAGATCATCTTTACCACATTTGTGTTTTGTGTTTTTACGAATAGCTAAATCTTGCAAAATAACATAACATGTCATCTCTTGGTAAGGTTGTGAGCCAAAGTCATGCGAGACCTGTTGATGCCAAGGTGTTAGCCATCAAGTAGTTCCCTGTTTCTACCACTATAAAGGAGCTTGTAGTTTGTTATTAGCATTATTTTTCCAACAAGGTTTTGACTGTGGCATCATCTTTTGACTGATTTGCTAAAAGCCAGCAAAAAGAGCAAAATTGACTTTGCCTGCTTTACAGCCAGCTTCTGTTAGCATCAAATCACTGTTGTGCTGTGCTTCTGTTTTGTTTGCACCCCACTTGGATGGACCATTTAAACTGCATGTGGATGAGGCACTCATCCAAGCTGACAAACAAGACCTTGAACGTCCGGTTACAGCTTTCCCCCCCAAGAAGTTCCATTTTTACCAGCTGAATTATTCAACCACAGAACATTTTTTTAATTATTATTTTATTCAGCCTTTGAGTATCCTGATTTTGCTTCTCAATCAAATAGCTTCAAAAACCATGTTTTTAAAGTGCTGTATAAATAAAGGTATCTGCACACTGTTTTCTAGTGTTTACGAGGACTTGTCACATCAAGTATTTACGCTGATTTTTCACATTGTGGCGATGCTAATTTTCAATTCATGGATGCAAGATGAAGGGTGAAGAGTTCACACACATTAAGCACTTCATCTTTTGACACTTCTGATGTGTGAAAGCAGCTGTCATTGATATTGGCACAGAGTCACTGCTGCATGTGAGGCTGTGAACTTCATGCTCTCATTTAGAGCATCATATCAGAGCTTTTCAGTCAGGTCTGGAAATACATAAACTGTACTTTAACACACACACACACACACACACACACACACACACACACACACACAGACAGACACACACACACAAGAACACTGTTAAATTTCCAAACTTAGAATAAATTTGGAACAATGACGCTGCTGTTATATATTCCTTTCTCATCTCAAACTGATGTCACATTCACCCTTCTACACTATTATACATTTTCCTCATCAGAAACTTTTAATTGAAATTGACTTAAGTTCTGCTGGCTGGGTTTCCGATTCACATTAGACCACCTTCGTCTGCAGTTCTCAGGTGGTTTTGTTAGGAGAAGTTCTGGGCCAATATTGTAGTGCAAATAAAGCTTGTGGCATTTTCTTTTTACTACTTTTCCCTAAAACTCATAGACGACGTAACACAACTGATCATGTCTCAGATATTAAAGTGGCATTTTTATGTGAATTAAGTTTAGCAATTAAACCTCTAAACAATATTTAAGTACTTATTTATTTAATATAATAAGGAGGTATTTCATGTGCTAAAATTTCCATTTCTGCTTACTAAGATTGTATGATTGCCTAGAAAGTGACTCATCAGTCACTTTATAAAATAAAAAGTTCAGCTGCAAGATAACACAAATATCTAACCAATCACGTGGCAGCATCTCAGTGCATTTAGGCATGGAGAAATGAGACGACCTGCTGAAGTTCAAGCTGAACAATAGAATAGGAAAGGGCAGTGAGTTAACTGATTAAGCGACTAAATGATTAGGTGTGGCATGATTATTTGTGCCAGTCTAGCTGATCTACTGGGATTTTCCCACACAGTCTGCCCTAAGGTTTACAGAGAATGGTCCAAAAAAGAAAAAATGTCTAGTGGGCAGCAGTTCTCTGGAGGAAATGGTTTGTTAATGCCTGAGGTCAGAGGAGACTGGTCAGACTGCTTCAAGCTGATAGGAAATTAACAGTGACTTAAATACCCACTCCATACAATAAGGTATGCTTAATGGCATCTCTGAACACTCATCATGTCAGTCTCTGAAGTGGGTGGATTACAACAGCAGAAAACCAAAAGAGCAAAATCTCTTAGGAATGTTTCCAACACCTTGAAGAATGTATCTGATGAAGAATTAAAGCAGTTAGGAAGGAAAGAGCTGACCGTTTAAGACATGAGCAAAAACAAGTCTAAAGTCTTTGGCCAACGTCATAACATGCATGTAGTGCAAGCCTGGCTCTGCCTGGGGTTTGAATCAAAGATGTTCTTGCTGAGACACAACAGATCATGTATATGAGATGACTGTATAACATTCTAGTTTTGCCGTTGTGTGTGTATTTAAACTCACAAAATGTATTTTTGCACCAGCGCTCATAGGTCAGTAGGTTGTTCCACTGCACCACACGTGTAGCAAGCTGAGAGAACAAAACAAAAAGCATCTCCACTTAGTGGCTGCGTTACCTAGTTACAGCATTAAGCAGTAAATGCAAATGCTAATGCAGCGCAAGCAATAAATCACTAGCCATTAACCTTGTTAAATATGCAGATTTACCTCCCATCAGAATAAACTATTTCTACAGGGGTAAACACAAATTTTTTTAAGCTTGAGTAATCAATGCAAATCCATCGAGTGTCCTGAAAAATACCAAAACAAGAAGTTTTCCACCATCCTTGAAGGTGTGCAAAAATGTAAATAAAAAATAATCTTTTCAATGTCATAAAAAAGGGTCAAGAACGAGCAAAAGCATTTGTGTCAGACACCTGAGCTACATTTAGAGTTTCGTATACCGTGACGGTGTCTCACTGAGGTGGAGATAAAGTGTGTATTTGTCTGAATTTACAGGAATTTTAACAACTGATGTATGACGGGGAAAAAAATAATAATTTTTTTTTTGTTGTTGTAATAAAATCTTAATGAGCTTGTAGCAATGTGAGTTTAGTTCTGGGGAGACTGAACATTACCTATCGCTGTTTTTTTTTACTCCTAAGGCATGCAAACACACCTCTGACACCTTTTCAAACCAAATTCGCAATTTGCATTATTGTGATCCTGATAATTGCTTTTAGTGTTCATTTTTTTTCATTCAGGGAGAGCTGACTGCATCTGTTAGAGAAAGCCTTTATTTAATTTGCAACAGCGTTGTGATTTCTGGTGTCTAACACTTGAATTCCCCTACAATACAAGCACTGACAAGCAGCAGGCATTCCTCTGTGTTTGAGCTCTGTAAAGAGTAATCTCAGGCAGCACTCAGTCCAAAACAGACCCTCCTGTGAGTTCATGATTGTACCCCTTCACTGACCATGACTGACTGGCACTGCTAATGCACAGGAACAACCCAGCCAGTGTTGTCACTGTTTACACAAAACATGCAGTCTCGTTTTTGCTTTTTTGTGTTTTTCACATACTCACTTTTACCCAAAAATGTGGAGAACTATGTTACCACCAGCTGAGGTGAGGTTGGATCAACCCTCTGGTGGGACTGCAAGCTCTGACTGTGAGATTTATGTAAGGACACTTGGAAATGCTCTATTAAATAAGCAGAAAACACACAGGTGCGCTCAAAACTTGTATTTGAACAATGTTACCAGAATCATAAAGCGGTGTATTGTTTGTTTCCTGGTTGATTTTTCTGTGTTAAAAGCCTCTCTGTGGCCCACTTTGACTGCAGCAGCAGTAGCAGCATGGGGGGATTTCTATGACTCTGTTTGTGTTATCTCCTCTCATCTCTAAACGCATGGTAGCACAGCACATCAGAAAGCCACCTATAAGCTCACAATGGAACTGAAAGTCCTATTTTTAGTCAGTTGATAAAGTATCCACTGTGCGTTAAAGCTGATCATTATAGAACATGCATGTGGTATACTGTAAGTTCTACTTTTCTTAAATATATATATAGACAGAGATCCTGAGAGGAGTGAGAGTTCAAAAAGGTAGAGTTTTCTGGGCAGGAAATCAATCAAAGCATGGAAACAAACCTGATGGAATGAGCAGGATCCAGGAGAAATGGGCAGAATCAAAAATCATTAGGAGGCTTAGAGGTATAACCAAACCAGGGTGCACACTGTGCCATTGTAGGTTGGTCCAAACCAGTGTGGAGAACAAACACATCAAAGAACCAAGCCAATATCTTTGGTAATGGCTCCAAAATTGTGGATAGGCTTAAAGTTACCCAGTTTAACCTGGAACAAACTTCCAGCTTTTTCAGAAATTCAGGAAATAACTGCTGCTGTGTCACACAGTGTGTCCCACAGCCAACAATAACAGGAATATAGCTTGAAATGTTGCCAGTTTGTAATCATTGCTATCCATCTGATGGCCTTTAGATAGAATGCGGGTTCAGGGCTCCTCTTATCCAGAAGCTCTGTTTCTGTTATACTGACTGA